AACACAGGAGAAGCAAATGAGATAAGAGTTGTGTTCTCTGAGGCTTCTCTCGCTGCCTTTCAGCTTCCCAGGAGAAAAACCCTGGGTGAAGGAATTTTTTCAGAGAATGTAAATGCCACACAGTGGAAATAGGGAAGCAGTATGGAATTTCCCAGTCCCTTCTGCAAGCCCATGGTTTGCACTACAGACATTCCCATCTCTCCCTTTCTTCGAGCCAGACACAGAGAGTCAGCAGGAAAGGGAAAGCTACAAGAGGAGGAGAGAATTTTTATAACCTTCCAAAAGAGAGGCTGAGAAATTACTTTGTAACAATGCATATCAGCTTAAAAACTACCAAGGGAGAAGAATCATTAAAGCTGGGAATAGGTTTTGGCTCAAGATCAGCTAGTTGTAAGACTATTATAGATAAATTTCAGCTGGCAATTAAAAGATAGCTCCTAAGCAATGAGAAGCAAGGGGGCTGCAAAAATCTGCCGAATCAAAAAAAAGCAACACCACAGGTACACAGGCAGACACAGAAAACCTCCCCAGAATCTCACCCACTGTTTTTAAGATAAAACCCAGTGTTTCTCCCAAAGGTCTTGGTGAAGGGATTTCCTGTAATTAAGGAACTAGATTCAAGAAACCCCTTCCAACTCTGTTGTACAAGTCCAGTAATTACATATCACATTGGAATTATTGGCATTGACAGAGTTACTGAAGCAATTAATTATTTTACTAGCATCAAGAAACAGTAATCTACTTTTGTACTGCTGCAAGACTGGGAGAGGGGAGGGAAAAGCAAGAAAAAGCTTCAAGCTGCTTGCCCAGAGGGTACAGACTGTCATCCCTAGGAGTCGTCTGGTCACATACCTGTAGCGCCCTCTCAGGAGACAAGGCTCAGAGACATGTCAGGAGTGCAGCACCAGAAGGATATTATGATAACTGTGCCATTCCTTAAAATAAAAAGTGGGTGAAGGAGGAGGAAAGCCTTGATTGGCTTGAAATTTGAATTGCAGTGAGCTGTGTGATCATACAGGAGATACGCAATATATGGCAGCCCCACACTGCTGTTTGCTCCATACCGACCAGCCAACATCCACCTCTGGGAAGTTATCACTGGGAATGGGCTTCAGCACCTCTCCTGCTCCTGTTGGCACTGTGGATAGTTTTGAGAAATTATAAACATGATAAACACAAGCCAGCACTTCAGCTAACAAAGACAGGAATAACACTAGCAGTGTCCACTTAGGAGAGCAGGGAGTGCAGATGGACTCAAAGGACAGGACAAATTCTGTGAACAGTAGAGAACTGGTAACTCCAGGAGGAGATTCCTGAGAAGCGCTGTGCCTTCTGTGCTTACAAAAGCAACTGCTGTAGCCGGCCATACAATCTTCAGCTGTAAACCCCACAGCATCCTCCAGATCCTAGACACCACCGTGGTGTGTACAGTGGGAGAACCTGGGTTTGTACTGTTATCTTCTCAAAGGATTTTTGACATTGCCAAAAATAACTGTGTCTGTAAGGTGCTGTTAGACATTTTGAGAAATACTGGAACTGCACCACGCACCACTCAGACTGGCTCTCTCATTTTCTTTACCTCAGTTGCCAAAGGCACAGACATCCAGGAGCAGCTAAAGCCAGAACCACTAAAGAAATTCTTTTTTGCACAGATACAAGCCTCTGGAATGAGTCTCTGCATGGTTTAAAAAAAAAGGAAAAAAAAAAAAGCATGTCTCTCCTTCCATCTTCTTTACACCTGTCTTTGGGGGGTTTAATTTTTTTTTTTTTTACTTTTGATTTCTATTACTTTTTATTTTATTTATATTTGCATGAATGATGCAGTGCCTTAATGTGTATTATCTTAACTCATAAATCTAATTGATATCTATGGGGAAGAGTCAGGCTGGAGACAAGGGAATACCAAATCTCACCTTTTACTCCTACTTGGAATTCAGTATTGACATGACTTTTGGAAGCATAGCAAGACATTTCTGCACAACTGAGATGGGGGTTTTACAATGATTTTTTTACAGCCAGCAATTATTTGTTACCCAGAGGAAAATTAAGATAAAAAGCATTAACCCACTGAGATGGCAAACAGTATAAGTTTCCTAAGAGTTCTGAGCATTTAGTGACAGCTTAGTTCTTGGGCATTTGGACATCTCTCAGCCTCACAGTATTCTGTAGCCCCAGTGTTTGTCTGGTGTGCAGCACAGTCAGGAGTGGTGAGGAGGTACAAGGTAACAGCACAGCCACATTCATAGGTAAGGGCTATTTGAGGTGAGCCATCTCACGCTGGCCTTCCTCAGGATTTGGAAATGTCACCTACATCAGTGCCTTCCCCTTGCCTCCACCAGTAGCCTCAGGACTGCACCAGCTAGCAGCTGAAGAAGCACAGCACTGCTGCCCTGAGCCCACAGGTGAGAAAAATTTCTCCAGATGGGTCAAAGTTCATTTTCAAAGTGCAAATACATAGATATTGAAATGCTCCACCTGCTTTGAAGTGACTTAAAAAATTGCACTCAATTAAAGGTTTTGGTTCCTTTAATTTGAAAGTAGGGGAGGGGAAAAAAAATCCCACACCATAAAAAACCAACTAGGTAAGATCCAGCTGATACTAGCATTAAGCAAGGCTGAGCTCTTCCACTTCACAGCCCAAAGGCTTTAACTGCAGGGCGCTTGGTTCAGAGAGCCATAGCTCATTCCTATAATAAGTAGCCTCAACTATTTTTGCCCACGTGGACATGGAATCATTTCTGCAGTACAAGGTCTGCAAGAACCTGAGAAACCACTGAGCCCTGTGCTGGGCAGCAGCTGTAGGCTGTCCTCCACACAAGCCTCTATGGGGGAAAGAGATCCACAGTGGGCTGCCTGACCAGGGCGATGCCCAGGGACAGGTCCCAGCCCTAGGCCTAGCACCTCTCTCCTGCCTTATGGGCCCCCTTCACTGCACAGGCTGTCCAGGGAAATGGTGGAATCACCATCCCTGGAGGTATTGAAAAGATGTGTGATACTCAGAGACATGGTAGAGTGGTGGACTTAGCTGTGCTGGGTTAAGGGTTGGACTCGGTGATTTTAAAGGTCATTTCCAAACTAAGTGATTGTAAGGCAGATGGGTCATCCTCTTCCCCTGAATTGCCTGCTTTGAGGGCACAGCTCTGGGGCAAGGATAAAGCTGGCTCCTCCCCAAGTCAGCTCTCAGAAGTGGCATGTGCATGCTTAGCTGCACACAGAGCTGGGGCAGTGCTGATCAGCTGGTAACAGACTCCTGAAGTAGCTGAAAGGACCAGGCAGCAGCTTGTCATTACTGGGGGCAGGGACTCAGAAACACACTTGAAAATCTGGTTATCGGGATCTAACACAGCAGGTGCCAGGCTTGCATCCAGCCCCAGCTAGAAACTGGTCACTGTGGGAAAAGAGCTTTGACCCAGCACCAAATGCGGCAACCACCTCTGAATACCATCAGTCAAGGATTTACCAAAACAAGGGAGAAACACATGGGGGTGGAGAAAGCAGTGGATGAGGACTGTTTGAACTTTCACCCACAGACAGAAGATGATGTGTAGCAGAAATCATCTCTGAAATCACTCATTGAAAGGCCAGCATACTGTAGGTTCAATATGGCTGATGTGCATTTGTTTCACCTTTCCCAGTCACCCCCACAAACTGAAAATCAAGCATGAAGTTTTTCTTAAGAATCTTTACTTTTTTTCCTTAACTTAAATTATACGTCCGAAATACAAGTATAAAACCTCACAATGAAAGACACTGCTAAATTCTACAAAACAGTCTAAATAATAATGCACTTACATCATTTACACAATTTACCGTAACAATAAAATAGGAGCACTTAGATCACAATTTACATATTGACAGAGGATGTGGCTGTGCAGCCATCCACTTTTGGTGCTGTCTCCTGCTGGAGTACCTCTGGGAGACTTGCCTCTGCAGGGAATAAGCCCTGCCAAAACTTTCCTAGGTGCAGGAACCTGCCCAAAGGGTACCAAACAGACCAAAATGGTGGCAAATATTTGCTTTTTCATCTTAAAGCTGCCACTGCAGCACATAAGCACATATCAATGAGTTATTTAAGGAATTCCCTGATACAGAATTTTGCTTTGCTGTGTTAGGCACTTTATTATACAAGTTATTTATTATGGCTTATTCAAAAGAACTCACTTTCCTCAGGGTATGTATTTGCCAGATTCAGTAGGAGAAAGAGACATGTCTAAGGGAACACCTTCAGCCAATGTTTTGGGTTAGCCTGCACCATGAAATTGGATCACATTACTTCGTATCAGTGATAAAGCAAATATTTTATCAAGACCTGTTCCTTCCAGCAAGTCAAGCAGTCAGTGTGTTTTACATTTTAGTACATGTGCACTTTTGTGCAAAAACCTTGGCAACTACAGATCTCCCTCTTCCGGTAAGTTAACAACTTATATCCATGCTGTTCCATGTGCCATGGGGTGACATATCCCACAAATGATTGTCTTAAAAGAGTACTGTAGGTTGACGCATTATTTACATATCTTAACATGTAGAAGATAAAGTTGTAACTTACTAAATAATAAATACAGATCAGAGTACAAGACGGAAATAAAATAAATTAGAATGATTCCCCAAGGTGTTGAATTCCTTCTCTTAAGGCCTGAGCCAAAGATGCAAAAAAAACCCCATGAAGCAATGTATTTCCAATGGTTCAAAAAGTTTTGGATAGGGCTTCTAATTAGACACTGTTTGAAAATGAGATGTTTAGCTAAGCTGTTGAGTATTTGAAACCTATATGATCAAACAGCAAAACTTACCTCTAAAAGAAGTCTTTTGGGTAAAACTTTTTAGACCAAACATTAACACTGTTTTTATTGGGAAGAACATAGTTCTCAAAGATTGTCTCAACATTAAATCAGCAGCAATGAAATAAGCATACAGTTAAGAACACAACGTATTTATGAAGCAAATACGTGTTAGTGCACATGATTTTCCAAAAACGTCACTCCGCAGCTACATTTGTGCGTATTTCAGAATGCTTCTAACTAGTTGGTTAATAAAAATCTTCTTGTGACTATAGCAAAGTTTGCAATTAAAAAAAACTAACTGAAAAACAGTTAGTAACTTACCCAAGAATTATGCCAAATTTCAGGTCCAAATATATCAGAACACCAAGAAATTTGGAATCCAAGTAAAAATCTTAAAACTGAGGTCTATCAAACTTTACACAAGAAAAAAAATATTAAAAGCAGTGAATCTGCTCTCAGAATTGCACACTCACCAGGTTTGTAAACTCTACATGAAGTCAGTGATGCACTGTTCACTATAAGAGGTATAATGTGGATGCTCTCTGCAGAGCAGTACAGATGCTTTTTGGTTACAGTTTCCTGCATGTCTCCTCTTTCTCCTCCTTGAGGATTAAGCATCTAAAGTAATTTGGTAGCTAAAAGTGTCTCAGAGGAAGAGGCCTGTGTTTACATGGAAGGGGAGGTGACAGGTGTCCATGTGGATGCCAGCCTAGCATGTGCAGAGGTGTCATACTGGCTATCAGGCAGGTCTGCAGGTGCTGTGCTGTCGTACAGGGGTGAGGTGGAAGAGGCAGCTGTCACTGGGTGGGGCAGAACTGAGTAGTGTCCTGGAGAGCCATGCAGGAACTGGGAGCTCAGCCCGTTGGACATCCCGCTTGGCTGGGACACCGGCGTGATGGTGCTGTTACTCACAGACCATAGGTTCGGGTACTGACTGGAAGAGGGAAAGTCATAGGTAAAACCAGTTATTAGTGACTCTAGTGCCTGCTGGCAGCTCCTCAGTTCGCAACACAGCCCCCAGGCCAGGTCCTTTTGCTGCAAACAGTGATACTCTCTTGGCAGCTCCCATCCACTGCGAGGCAGGAAGGACCTCCAGGCAGAATTTGTGTTCATGGCACCCCCACAAATAAACTGAACTTCCCTATTTTCCAACAGATAGGGGCTTAGACAAAAGGGGTGGCAGAAATGCCTTCCATGAGGTTTCACAGTTCCAGTTCTACTGGTTTTACCTACTGAACAACTCAGAGCAGAAATTGAAACTCCAGGAACTTTGCAACTTCTTAAATATGCATCCTTGGGATCAGACAGATAAAGAAGTGCTAGAAGGACCTTTTTACTCAATCTGTGTTCAGGACTAAAAAATATGTTCAGCAATACAGATAACTCATACTGGGTAGTAGTACATAGCCTGATTAACAGTTAAGAGTCCACATGCATGGTTCAAATGCAAAAATGCTTTCCACAAACAGAATGGTAGGTCTGAATTGCTAAAAGCGATGTCCAAATCTTGTCCCTCTGTAGTTCATAGCAAATATTTTACCACCTTTTCTGCAGCTCTTTGAATTTTCAAGTTTAGCTCTAAGGGACTAAATGCAAGCTGAATTTTTGCTAAAGGATTCAAAAGTTTAATTAAGATGATAAGTATAAAGAGGAGAAAAGTTTCCTTTTTATGATCACAAAATATCTAAGACTTTCGCCACACGTACAATCCCATGCTATGCTGGTTAGTGTGGCAATGCTTAAGTAAAGAATTACTGCCCCAACCATGTGCTTCTTCTCCAAACTACAGTTCACTTCTCCATCATTTCTAGCAGAATAATGGTTTATGGAGATGGCTGGGAAAGCATGACCAGCCAAAATGGAAGGCATAAAGAAAATAAACTTTTTTAACACCATTATACATAATAAAGATGAAACTTCAGCATCCTCAAATTCAGTCTATGCTTGTCTAAGTAATTTGCAATCCTTAATTTATCAAATATTGCTGTCACAAGTATCTACATTTACAAAATAAAAAAACAACAACAACAAAAAAACCAAACAAAACAAAAAAAAAAAAAAAAAAACCAACCAAAAAAAAAAAAAAAAAAAAATCAAAAAAAAAAAAAAAAAAAAAAAAAAAAAAAAAAAAAAAAACAAACCAAAAAAAAAAAAAAAAAAAATCTGTTTCTTCAATCTGTTTTCCTTGTGGACAGTTCTTCACAGTGCCCCACAGAGTGCTAATGGTTCATACCAATGGCCAAAATGTCTTCTAATATGCTGGTGATCTTTACCTCCTTTTTCAGACTTTTTTTTTTTCCTAGAAGGTACCAACATAGGGGTTTGAGGGCTGGAGTCCTACCTGGAGCTGGTAGCTGTGCCAGTGCTGTGACCCATGGGCAGCATGGCTGTGTGTGTAGTAACTCCCAGAGAAGACCAGTTGTCATGGGACTGCAGCATGGATAGGCAGGCAGAGGAGTTGTCAGCATAGGCTGCTGAGAAAACACATAATCAATTACAAACACTAGAATCAGGCCAAATACCAATGTTGTATTTAAATGCAATGAAGAATTTTAAACTATCCTTCCCCACTACTACCTTGGGGGAGAAAAAAAAACAAACAAACAAAATTACACACACAGAAAAAAACAAAGACAGTAACCAGTTGTGTCAAGCTCACACCTTTATGGGCATTGCCTGACACGTTGTTTTACTCCACTCATAACTGCAAAATCTTATTTCTCTGAAGGGCCTATGGTCAAAAGGCTGTCTGCAAGCCAGCTGCTAAACCAGCACATGTCATTTTACACAGTCAGTGGGATTTATTTACACTGTCACCTGGAGATCTTCCATCTCCATCACCTACAATGGCTGTAACAGTCTGACAAAGCTGGATAACAAGCCTATCACTGGATCACACATGCCAGTTTTGAGGTGAGCATGCCACCTTGAAATCTGCCTTAGGCACTGTCAGGAGTGACTGGACTGTGGCTTAGACTACTTGGCCTGTGACCCAAACTGGCTGGCTCACACAGCAGGGGCACTAGGAAGCTATAAAGGGAATCCCATACAGCCACCCATGGTGAGAAAGAAGCTGCTGTGGTGGCTAGCTAAGGGAAGAAGTTGTTTGCTGAGGACCAGTGAAGAAGGAAGAACACCAGAGAGGTTTTGTTCTTTTATCCTTTTTTAAGTCTTCCACGAAACTTCCAATATGCAAGAAAAGTTCACAGAGAGCTAGTTTTCCACTTCAAAATGAACAAAAAAGCTACATACAAGCTAGGTTAGGTTGCATCTAAAAGGCCATGTATTACTTCAGAATTCAAAATAATAAATATTTTCTAAATGGGAGCCTTCAATATCTACATAGCCTGAAAGCTAAAATTGTTAATCATTCTTCTTTAACAGAAGAAAATTTAAAAAAAAAAAATAAAGAAACAAAAAAACCCCACTGTTAAAAATGCCCTTTTCATCCTTAAGTACCTGATGCCTGAGATATTAAGTCTTAAGATATTTAGCTACTTCTGAGCACACCTTTTTTTAAAAGCTCTGCAGTTAACTCAGCTCCTTATTGTTTCTATCTATGCAGTGGTGGGACGTCCATAGACGGACACTAACTACAGCCACAGTTAAGCTAAGAAAATCAGACCCTCCGTTCTAAAGACACTGGGAAGGCATACTCGGCTCAGGGCCCCCCTTCTCTCAGAGCTGCAGCCTCGGACTTACTTGGCGAGTTGTTCCTGTGTGTGTAGGGGTTAGCATAGGGTGCAGGCCGGTGGCTCCTCAGTGATGAGTACCTCTCACAGCTGTGTGCAGGGGACAGCGACAGTGGGGCTCCAAACTGTGCGTGAGGATTGGCAGAGGGGCACAGAGCCCCACTCCCAGGAATAAGCCAGCTACCTACTATGGGGAAGCAAAAGGTCAGTAAGAGGAGTGTACAGTGCAGCCAGGCAGAGAATCACAGTAACGAGACAACTGAACAGCAAGGAACTGCACACTCAGGAAAGGAAACTCAGGAAGTTTCAACATAGCCGAAAAATCTGGATCTTTATAACTTGGATAAATGTTCTTATGAAGGAAAAGTAGAAAGCAGCTTAGAAAAAGTCTTGTGTCAAGCTTACTTGTTTTTTAAATTACCATTTAGCCACAACCACAATAAAGAAACATGGAAATTGTTAAACCCTCCCATACGTAGGTAGTGTGTGCTCAGTAATTGTTAGCATAGTATTCAGTTTTAAATTGCTCTTTGGGGGGTCTCGATCTATAGCTAAGCTCTGACGTTTCTCAGATTGCTAAGAATTCCTCTTAAAAATTAATTATTTTCCCTGAAACAAAATAATCCCTGCTGCAAATCAACTGCCCCATCCTTTTTAGACTGCATTTTGTTGTCAATCATCTGTTAAAACAGAAATCATTAAAACACTAATGCTTTTCAATCATCTGAAAACTTCAAGCAAATGCCCATAATTTTCATAGAGTACTTAAAACATGAGTATTGTCTCAATAAATTTTATGAAATAAACTTTTGTCTCCATGCCCATGTGAACATTGCTGTCCTTATATAAAAAGGCAGATGTCTTTTTGGACATAAAAGCAACTCTGCAGGATTCTATTAAATGGTTTTGAATGCAATAAATCCTAACCATACACAGAGATGATAGTGTTTATGTAATCATCAACATGCATGAACCACAACCACAGAGACTGATAACATTCCTCTCTCTATGAACTAACAAGCCAGCTATCAACCACTGGCTTTGAAGTTTAGCTTAACTTCACAAAGAGTAGATGAAAGAAATCAAAGTCATACTCATGATGCACAACGAAAGGAAACATACACTGTGAATACCCAGACTGCTGGTTGTCCCCCACTTCCTCCATCAGGTCTTTGTGATCACTCCTATAAAAGAAGCCATGCTGTATTAGTTAAGAATTTGCTTTCACAAATCTATCTTAAACATCTACATTTTAGAATTAAGAGCTCTCACCTTTCTTTTGCATCAAGAAATGCCTTTGCAAATGGATTGTATTTAATTTTTAAAGCTGTGATCTGAAAGCAACAACAAATATCTTTATTCACATGTATCACAATTCATTATCACATTGATATCAGGATTTGAACTAGGACTACCCACTGAAGGTGGTAAAATCCCATATTTTTGAAAAAATCAAAGTAGGCCCATAAAAGCAACTAATGGGAATGAATTAAACAGCCCCTTAAGGTCTGAAGTACTATCAAAGCACGAGGAGTTAGTCTCTGCCAAATTTTGAAACACCGAATAGCCTGAGTTCATTGATCATCTAAGGAAACACCTAAGAAAGGAAGTAAACTAAATAGCTATAAAAATCTTCACATTTCAAGCCAGAGCAGACTGGACATCAAAGAAATCTCAGAAAACATAATAATTACAACTTCATTCAACACACACTTGCATTTGGGTAACAGAAAAAGGGCTGCTCCAAAAACGGTGCCTTCAGTCATTTCACTGAGTAGCTCAAAATGACAACTGTATTTTTTACCATAGTTGTTTGCCTCCACAAACTCATTTTTAAAATTACGCCCCTATAACGAATCTGCAATACATATTGAGACAAACAATGATCAGAACTTTGTTCTATAATTCATTCATAAGGCTTTTACATACATTAATTTAATCTTTTATAGTTAGGTTCAAAAAAAAGCATAGGAAGAACTGAAAAACAGGAAGGGAGATCCATTATTTTGCTCTGTAACATGCATGCTTTGCTACTTGAATCCTCCCAGTAGTGGCATCCTCTCTTCCTCGCTGTGCATACCTCCTCATTCTGGTAGGCTGTGACAGCTATAAACTGGGTTTCTGGGAAGGAATGGCTGGTGATCATCCTCTGTGGGCCCCCCACTCGCACTATGTGAATTCGTGGCTCATACTTGTGCAGGGAGTTCAACATGATCTGTGAACAAATAGAGCAGATGAGCAGTGACAGAGTGCCCTTTGTAGACGCTGCCAGGCACAAAGGGCACTCAGGTTTTAAAGTATCCATCTTTCCATCAGAGGTGGAAAAAGCAGTAAGTACGAATAAAGCCTAAAACTGAAGCTGTGAGAGAAGGAAAGGCACACCGAGGACAGACACAACTTTCTGCGCAGTTGTCCTCATCCCTGTTATTTGATAAAGCATTCACAGAGTCACAAATGCATCAATGATAAGTCAGCCTTAGAAGGATTCATCACACCACTGACGCTAGCAGATATTCAGACCAGAAAGAGATTTCCAAAAAAGAAAAAGTGATAAAACATCAAGGTACCCATCCTCGGTAGAGAGAACAGCTCTCCTGAATGAATGAATGAATCGGGGCACTCCAGGTCAAGGGCACCCCTCATGGGCCCTCCCGGTCCCGGTCCCGGTGTTCCCGGGGCCTTTTCTGCCTCAGGGCCCTCGGGGCGGCGGGGGGGGGGGGGGGGGGGGGGCGCGGGGCGGTGCAGGGAGAAGCGCGACCCATCCCAGCATGAAAGTATGAAAATGAGCAGTAAGGAAAGAAAGAGCTCGCAGGGCCGGGTCGGTCCGGTCCGGTCCAACCCCACTGACCGACAGGTCCCGGTGTTTACCTGCCCGCCGCCGTTGAGCTTGTTGGTGAGTTTGACTTTGTTGAAGGAGACGGGCGCCTTCATCCAGTGGGCGCCGAAGTTGGGCGAGTCGGGGTGGATGTAGACGCAGCTGGGCGCCTGCGGCTCCGGCTTCCCGCCCGGCACCCACTCCCCGTTTACGTACTTCCAGCGGTGCCCGTCGGCCGCCACGAAGTCCAGCAGGAAGGAGTACATGGCATTAGGGTCCAGCCCCGACACGCTCACCTTCAGCACCGGGAACATCCTCCTGCGGGGCGACACGGAGGCGCGAGGCACGGCGGCGGGCAGCCGCGACCCCCGGCCCCGGGCGGGCGCCCGCACCCGCCGCCGAGACACCCTCGCCCCCCGCGGGCGGGCAGAACCAGGGCTGGGAGGTAGCGGAGGTGGCGGGGCCCCTCCCTACCTGCCGTTCTTGGTGACGATCATCTCGTTGGTGAGCTCCTTGAAGCGCAGCCACAGCTCGCTGTCCTCCAGCGCGACGCGCAGCTCCCTCTCCGTGGGATCCCCTTTCTCGCTGCCCGCCTGCAGCTCGCTCTCCACGGCGCTCAGCAGGTGGTCCACGCGGTACTGCGGGGGCTTGCCCGAGCCTTCCGCGCCGGGGGAGCTCATCCCGGCCCCGCGTCCGCCCGCGGGACAGCTCGCTGGCACGGCCACACCAAAACCAAGCCGAACCTGAGCCACCTCGTCGCGCCCTCACCGGCCGGGCCGCTGTTATAGCCCGCCATAAACGCCTCTCTGGTGACATCACCACGCCGGCGGGGGGGCCCCGCTGATTGGCGGGCGGCGCCTTTGATCGGCGCGGGCGGCGCTGCCCATTGGCCGCCCGCGGCCATATCAGAACGGTGCCCGCGGGAGCCTGTGATGTTAATTGTAGCCCGCGGGATTAAACGCGGCTATTTTATGTAAATCTGCCCCCAAATGTTTGCACCTCTATCAAAGCCGCCGGGGCCGGGGCTCCGGCAGCCGCGGAGGAAATGGCCCATCTCGGCAACAGCCTCACAACCGGCCAGCGCGGCACCCTCTTGCCTCCCGGCGCAGCGAGACCCCCGGCCCGCTTCTAGGCTGGCTGTCCTGGACGGGAGGCGCTCCCGCCGCGGATTCATATTTAAGGGAAAAAAACGGAAAGTCCTCTTCTCCAGGCGGCTGCAAGCTGACAGCAGCACTCCGCCTCGCACCGCCGCTTCCCCCCGCACCTGCCCCTGCCCCCTTGCCGGAAATTTCTACTGCAGGGAAAGGTGTAGCTGGCAGTGACAAAGCTTGCGGGAAAAATCAGCCAGAGAGCTGGAACTGTGCCGTACAGCGGCTGACCACAAACCTGGCACAGCACCGGCACTCCCCGCTTTTAGCGAGCCCATGAGCCCGCCCGTGAGAAAAGTGACAGAATTTGCCTCACAGCGCCAGCACGGGCAGTGCTTTCGCAGACGAGATACTCGACGGCGATGGTTTCGAGCCATCCCACCTAAATAATTTTTGAAAAATCTGAAAATCAGATCGATAGCCACCCGCCATCCCACCTAAATAAAAACATACTTCTGAAAAACAGATCGATAGTTAAAGGCTTTGTTTCGTGTAGAAAGGAGAAACTCCCGCGAGTTCCTGCGGGCAGGAGGCGAGAAACTCATGGGTGAAGCTTTGCAACTTGGTGAATTTATTTTAAAGCTATTTGACACAAAAACAAGGGCAGGGACGAAGGAAAAGAGGGGTGCTCTGAGGCACTCCCGCCGGCCGGTGTTGTAATAGTTTGCATTCTCCGGAGCTGCGACGTTCTGTGGTGTGAGGGAAGTTTATTACCTTTCCGTGAGAATCCCTGGATAGAGGGCGAGGGGGAGAGAGGTGACAATGAGCAGGAAATAGTTCAATGGGTCTCTTTAAACAATAACATGTTCTTTAAACGGGAGCAAAGGAGAGGGGGAAAGAAGCGGAGCGGTGTGAAAATCAGAGTTGTTTTTAAAACAGGCATCTCCTGTTCTCCAAACACCGCGCACCATCGCTGCCGGGGATTTTTCAAATTTTAGGAGAAGGTGCCCTGGATACATTGTCAAGCTGTCTAGCAGCAGAAGGAGCTGGAAGTCAGCGCTGCCAGGGGAAAGCACGCTGAAGGTCCCTTTTGCGGGATGCAGACTGTGATTCATTCCTTTTTGGTTTAGCAGCTTCGGCTTAGGGCTGTGCTTTCATTACACGGCACCATCGTTCACTTAACTCCGCAGAGCTTTTTTCCCCCCTTCAATCTGACAAACCGAATTCCTCGAGCCACCTCTCTTTGACCACTGTGCAGGAGCAGGAGAAAAAAATGTTGTCCCTTCAGATTAATTCTTGCTTTAAAGTTTCTTAAAGCTCTTTCTGCCCGAGTACCGTCTGCCTGCTTTTTGTCCTCTTCGGAAGGGTAAAGCAGCATTTGCAAATAAATTACGGGCAAAGTTTACTAAGTTGATGCGTGGTCACTGCTAGCCATAGTTGGAGGTGATCTTTTCGCTATCAGGTGTTTATTTTACTGAAAGTGCTCCGGTCTTAACAAGCAAACACGACCTAACAAAAACCACGAACCCTCAAGCCCCGCATGGGCACGGCACGCTGGCCCTCGGGTGGGCTGGCAGCCCCATCTTTGGGTTTGTGTTTTGAAGGCAACATTTCGAACACCTCAGTCCTGAAAGAGCCGAGTGCCAGGAGAGGCTATCCCCGAAGGACTCCCACAGACAGCTAGCTTCCCGTTCCGTGCAGGTGACAGGGAGAGAAGGGACTTTTCACCCCTTGCAGAAGTCGCGTCACTTTTAGGGTACTGTCCGCGGGAAAGGGATGGGGGG